TCAAAAATGAAATTGATAGATGGAATTTTGCGAGAGGGTTTTACAGCAGGCATAGTAATAAAAGTTTTGATTACGCACTTACTGGACCTTTCCCCTGATTCCTCATCAATTTTTGCCATTGCTCTTAGTCAGAATACAACCACATTAACATATCAAGCATGGGGCCCAAAACATTTTACAAACATCTAGAGCATATTAAGAGACAGGCGGATAACTGATTCGATGTTTCATTTGGTATAATGAGATTTAGTTATATATAAATAAAATGAGGCTTCCTTTAGTATAAAGTATAAACAATTAACACATTATTTTCACTGGAAACAGTAGAAACATGTGTTCCGAAGAATGATGAATGAAGATATATAAAGCATGACACAAACTACTGTTGATTGGAACTATTTAACCAGGTATTTAAAACCTGTAGTTTGTATCACTGCGCTCCATGGACTCAACACTTCTACTGATGCACGTTTCTCTCTCAAAAGTTACGGTTTGCAGGCTTTTTCAGCATACGGACAGACAACATGTTACATTAGACAATTAGATTGAGAAAATATAATGCCTATAATGTGGGCTAAATGTAGAAAATATCAGAATTGACTAGTTATAGAAAAAAAAATTCGCTTTCACTTTCAGTAGATTAAAGGGAAGCAACTAATATCCAAATGGCAGCAGCAACAAACCTCAAGCATATCTTGCTCAGCTTACATGGCTATCTTTTCAATATTACTACGAAGTCTAACACTGTAATATAGTAACTTCTTTCTTTTTTTTTTCGTAATAAATGTGCATAAGTTTATGTATTTTTAAAAATACATTCAACTTACCTCTGCTCTAGTTCTGCTAGAACAGAAAACAGAGGGAGGTGTAGAGAAGTTGTGTGTGGCGGACTATGTGGTACCCAGAGAGGATGAGGATCTAGAACCCAAATCATGTGAAGTTCTCAACATGGCCTGTCTTACCTCTGGTAAGCCTCAACACTAAATAGCTTAAGCATCTATAAACCCGCGACTAAAAAAGTGGGCACTGCGCAACGACCTAACATTAATCATTGTTTGCTAAAAACAAATACAACTATGACATTCGCGCAGTGCAAAGCATTGCTGTCAAGGGCTCGTGGTGCATCGGTTGTAGGGATACTGTAAACATGAGCCTTTAAGAGCTTTGAGATTTTTAAAAATGGAAAAAGAGAGAGAGATAAAAGCGGCGGGGGGGGGGGGGGGAGAGAGTAAAAGCAGGCTTGGTTTGATTTAACGATAGTCTTGGAATGTCTTATAATTTCAACAAGAATGCTGTGATATCTATGCATTTACAAAAATACCGAGTGTAGCCATTTCGGTAAATATATTAAACCAATGAATAAATTAGGCTTTCCCCGCTTTTTTTACAAATTTTTCCGATGGGCTTGCAAAAAACTCGCTGGAAAGACTCAACTTGTAATAATGAAGCATTACATGAAATATTTACAGAATATCAGCTTCATAATGGAGGAATGGATTTTCAAAAACTGTTCAATTTTTCTTTTGATAGACGTGTCTCCACAAGCTTAAAACTTAATTATTTTAATGTAAAATAACTTGTCAAAGGCAAAATAGTGAACTTATTGTACCTTATTGTACTTTGTGAATATAGACGAGGTAGGTCGTTTGAGAGATCGAGAGTTTTAGTTAGTAGAAGAAGTCGAATTAGTTAGAAGAGTCAAGTACAGAAGCGTGGTAGCAAGACAGTATGTGGTATCAAGTTGTTGTTGCAAGTTGTAATAAGTTGAATGTAAGAAGTTGAAGCAAGTAGTTGTATTGATGAAACAATATTTTACATAAAGTCGTTTACCGGGAGTGGACAAAGTGATATGAACGTATATGTATATGTGAAGCTGGAGAGTTATTATATTCATTCAATATCTTCATGGCAGTTGGATTTATGTCAGCTAAATAAACATCTTATTGAGTCACGTTCGCAAGTAGCTCCTGTAATCGTTGTTAGTCTAGTCTCATTAGGCTACTGTAATGCTACTTGGGAATGATATGCCTACAAAAGCATCCTACAAATTAATGATAATTATCATTATATCAGTGACATATTGAATGGTGTCAGAAGTGGGATAAATAATTGTAATGATGCCTGCAATCAAGGTAGACTTCTTAAGTCTTAATTGTTGTTGTTGTTTTAGAGCTAAACTGGGATAGCGTTCTTCAAAAAAATAAATGGTCTTCGAGCCTGAGAGACAGCGCATACTTTCATCTGATTGGTCGAGACAAACTTCCATCTGGAGCAGACGAACTAGTCATCGGAGACATCTTGGTAACCGAAAAAAAGGTATCCTCATTAATACAGCTCACCATAATAAAGCCTCTTTTTATAGATAATTATAGAATATAGTCAGTTTACTAGTTCACTCTAAATGTGTAGTTACTCTACAAGCTAACTCCCTTCAATGATTTTCTTCTTTGTTTATCGTGGATTATGTCCTTCAATAGCAATCTTCTTTCTTTTCGTTCTACACACATTGTGCTGATTCAATCTCTAAGTAGGCAAGCTAAGGCTACAGAAGCTCTCAGTTTCTTCTAAGTTCCATCTTCTTTTTTTTTTGTTCTTTCTTTCCTTGATATTTCCGTCTCTCTTGTTACGCATTTTATTATGTCTTTCATTCGAAATTTTCCACTCGTGTTTTATTCTTAACATCATTGTTCTGTTTTCTCTGAATGCCAAGTCCTTCTTTAGTAGTGAACTCATGGAACTCAATCATGGTTAGATCTAGTTAGTTGTAGTTTTTGGCATTGTTTTTTTTTAACCAAAACAAAATTCGTTTATATTTATCTTCTCAATGCTCTAAATTTTAATGAATATTATTTTTCCATTCCTCTCATTAAAAGGTCATATCAACACAAAAACGTGCTGAGATTTATAAAGGTTTCATATGATAAATAAAAATAAGGCTTGTCTTCGAGTCCGAAGATTAATGAGGAATGCAGTATTTCCCGTGGCTACGCAGCCCCAGCTGCGATCTACATATTTTCCCACATCCAGGGCAAGCATATAACCATTGTCCGCCGGTGGTCGATTAAGATTTTCTTTTCGCCGTCTGCGTCTGTCCTCGGCAGCGGATTTTCTTTTGGTCTCAAATGTGTATCCCTCGGCCTTTGTGTGTGACCTCCAGTTGTCTCGTTCTGAGGCCGCATGCAACCAGGTGCTCTCTTCTATTATCTGCTAAGGCAATTTGGCGCCTTAGCTGGTCTTTAAAGCGTTTACGTGGGGCACCTCTGTTATGCCGATCACCTTTTAGCTCACCAAAAAAGGCTGCTTTTGGCATACGTTCGTCCCCCAAATGGGATAAGTGCTCTGCCCAACGTAATTGTTTGACCATAAGAATTCCATCTATACTGTCCATACCGGCGTTCGCAAGGACATCGCTGTTTGTAGTGCGGTCTAGCCACTGTATATCCATGATGGAGCGCAAGCATCTTTTGTGTGTGTTAATATGTTTATATTGCGTCATTATTTATTGTGAATGTTTAAGTGAGAAAGTACTTGACAGGATGTGAAGTAATAAAATGATAGTCTTCAATGTCTACTTGTATAAACACAAAGTCTCTGTTATTATCATTGTTATAATAATGTCTACAGTATGTTATTTATTTATCTGTGACAACAGATGACAATTCACGAATCAATAAAAAAATTACCCAATTAATTAATCAATTAGTACTAATTAATTAATTTTGTTTCACATAGCAGAAAGGGAGTTAAACCCTGCTATATGAGATAATTCAATAATTAGCGGTTCTTTCCCTTAGAAAAGCTTTTTTTTTTAAAGTATTCTTTTTTTTTCTCTTGTTTATGTTATGATATTTGCTATAATACATGTGATATCGTAATTTGTATTTCAGTTGTGCTCCCGTCTTTGTCTTCGTGTCAACGGTTGCCAGGCATTTTCGTCTACTAAGCTGACCTCTAACACATCAAGATGTATTATGTATCAAGATGTCACCAGACATGTGCAGCCCAAACTTGACACCTTTTATTATAGTTTAAGTTGATGGCATAAATAGACCTACAGAGAGGAAACACTATTACCTATGTTATATTCTAGGGATGAATTTTCCCATTTCTTGAAATTCAAAGCATTAAAAAAAAATTTTCAACAGACCAAAAAAACATTATTTTCATCAGAATTAAACATATTTTTAATATAAATGTGTATTTCTGGAAATGTTGATGTGTTTCCTTCAGTTCTTATTACATTGTAAGGTACTGTAATGTCTTATTGTTATAGAGGACAAGTAGGTAGCATGAAGAATCAGTATGTCTTGCCGTACTTGTACTTTCAAATAGTTCTCCGAATACGATTTTTAATGTAAATGTAACAAATACTTGCAAGTTATTCTTAAGTAGCTTCTAAATGTAAGACTTTTATAAAGTTCAAAGTGAAACTGGAAAATATCAACATACAAATAAAAAGAAAATCTTTTAAAGTATTCCATAAACACTTAACCTTGCTCTAGATTTCAAATTGTGTCAAGAGATTTATTAGCCTACATTGACGTTTGCATGCAAGACATGGGAGTCATCAGCCAAAATCGAGAAAGGAATAAATGTGGCTCAGCAAAAATGGCTAAGACGGATTTTAGGAGTCAGTTACAGATTGGGTCACAAACAAAGAAATCCTATGCCAAACTGGAATCCTACTGCCTAACTTAATGAGGTTGTGGCCGAGCGTTACTACATGAGATTTGCGGAACATCCTCCGATAGAGTGAATCAAGCATACCAAGAGTTGCAAGGACAGGAGGCCAATACAACGACATTCTCCTATAACTTGGAGCCACACTTTCATGGAGGACCTCAGAGCAGTAGACAGCGGCTGAGAAGAGGTTGCAGACAGTTTGCTGCCAAATGTGCCGGATGGCGCAGTAGAATCAAAGTTTGATATATTACAACTTCCATAGATGTTTAATGTTTAGATAAACTTTGAAAATAGTACAGAAAAAAAAAATACAAGAGACAATTTTTTACATTTTTATTTTCAATGACTTAAAACCAAAATCACCCAGTATGCACAGGTCTATTTGTAAAACTGCTTTTCATTAAAAAAAAATTTTTTTGTGGCACAAATAGCAAACACCAAATTGACAGGAGTAGAATATAGGAAAATATAGCACAGTTAAAGAAACAAAATATATAAATATTAACATAATTTTCAGTAAATCAAATGAAATATTATTTTTTTTTAACTAATCTCTTTGGCACTCAATGTAAAAGTTGAAAAAAACAAACTTTTCCTCTACATTGGAATAGTGAGCTTCAGCTACCAGTACTAACACAAACATAGGCAGATTACACAATCATTGAATGTTAAGGAATCATAACCAAGAATGACCATAACCATGGGTGCATTGGTTGATAATAGAAACTTGTCTAAAATGTAGGCTATAGAGCTAGTTAACTAGTTGAAGAAAAATACATAACCAGTCTACAAAGCTGATAAAAAAAATAGATAAAAGAATTGCACTAATAAGAGAAAGCAGTAAAGAATTTAGTAAAAAACAAATCTGAAACAGATTTTTAAAAAAGCTTAATATTAAATTTATATAGTATAAAAAAAAATCCAATTACTAAAATTGTAGTCCATTTACTAATTATGTTTTTTTTTAAAATCTGAAAATTGTTCAATAATTGGCAAGACAACAACAACAAAGTAAAATGTTGAATAAATTTGAAATGCAAAGACACCCTGGCAACAATCAGTTTCAAAAGTGAATTTTTAAAATACATGAAGAAAAAAAAGAGAAAACAAAAAGTGGAGTTATGATAAACCAAATTCTATAACAAATGCAAAAAAAACCCCAAAAAACTGGACATTCTAATGCCTTGTAAATAAAGCTTCTTTCAGTGGTTTGTTTGAAGCTCTGCTACAATGTAAAGTTTGTGGTTGATTGGCCCTAACCCATTCTGTCCAATAAACTAATACAATTATTGTTTTTCCATTTTTTCTCTATTAGTTCTTTACAAACATTATTGACAAACATTCACAAATTAATATATTGTCAACAAAATGCCCTTAACTCTGTAAATGTGAATACATTTTAAATATCCAATTCAAAACATCGGTACATGCCTGGTCAACACTTTACCTCTGTTTAAACATACACTTATAATTACATTTATACAAGAGCCACTTGTTGAGGGGAGTCATTGACATCTGAAGAAATGCATTTATTGAGATAAATAAATGCCATATAAACTATATGAATTTAAACAAATTTAAAAACTCAGGCTAAAAAAAATAATGCGGATGAGGTATAAACTATATGAATTTAAATAAAACTAAAACTCAGGCTAAAACAAATAATGTGGTATACAGAATAAATTGAGAAGTAGCAATGCTCACTAATAACAATATTTGAATTAATGCACACATAGAAAAATATATTCAGTTTTCAATTTGAAGAGTTGACATTAAAAGTAAATAGTTATGTTATCTATGCACATTATAATGCTTGTTACATTAGTTTGCTTTGGTTTTGTGCAGTCGAGCAGCTATGAAAAGTGCAACATGTTCATCTGACTCATTCAATAGCATAACAAATATTAATGTTATATAAAATAATGTACATTATGAGTTTTCTCAGAGTAAAATTATCTTTGACAATATTACAACTTCAAATAGGAATTATTTGGCTTCATGAATAGTAGTTTACATGTATAAGCGGTGAATTTAAGAAACAACATTGAATAGAAAGATAAGAGGCATTTTAGTTAATATTCAGCATTACTCAAACCTGTTAAATATTTCAAAAAATGATGTATATCTATTAGCATAATAACATAAACTTTGTAGGCTATAAAGCACCTAATGAACAACAACATAAAAATGACCAATCAAAAAAAAAAAAAAAAAAAAAAAAAAAAAGCATGCAATTTCAATACAAAATATTTAAAACATTTTCAATTGCAATGTTTTTATGGTGGGAACAATAAATAAAAGCAAACTAAAATCAAAAGAATAAATAAAATCAAAAGAATAAATAAAATCATTGTCTGAAAAAGTAAACCTAAAACTAGCCCTTATTTACAGATAGATAGATCGAAATGTACAGTGAAACATTGTTTATTTGGATGTCAGTTATCCATAAAATTATATATCCGGACTGTTTTTTTTTTTACAGTAGAGTATGCAAGTAGTCTTGCTGAGATGTAGCAAAAGATAAGCAATTATTTCTCTCAATAATGGTAGGCAACTATGTATAATGCTCAATATGAATTTTTTTATATTGTTGGTGAAATAGACCATATATAATATTTTGCATTTGGTTATTCAGAAGATCCATTATCCAAACATACCCCATTCCCAATTAACGTGATAATTGACATTCTACTGTGTTAAAAGAAGAAATGCAGAAGAACCTCCAAGTTGTAGGTAATAGTTCGCATCAATTTGCAATTTATTTGTATTATTACACTCCTGGTACAAGTAACAATATATGAACTGGCCTATTATTACACTAGTGATAAGTGTTGTTTTTTATGTATCTCATATTTGACAATAAATATCTTGGCTACTGGTGTTACGCTTAAAATCCACTTGTATTTCAGCTGTAGTACTTAACTAAGTACCATCACGACAGTTACATTTAACATTTGATATATAAATGTCAACCATGGTGATAATAAGATTGTAACTAATTAGAATCAACTTCTCTTAAATAGAAATGATATGTTCACATTGACTTGAATACAAGTAAGCTATTATAACATCATAAACTCTAAAAAAAAAATAAAAATAAACTTAAATAATATAAAATAAATAAAGCCTAAAGAAAATACTAAAAAAAAATGCATTTTTAGTGCAATGGATCAAAGGGAGATAAAAACAGGGCAAAACTGATATGCTTGAGACAACTGATGAAGGATGAAACAATCGGAATGACAAATCTTTTGATCACCTGGCTTTGTCAGTTGGAGCCACACGTAATAGTTTCTGTAAAACTATTGTTATCTTGTCTGAAAAGAGAGAAAATTTAACATAATTGTAATGGTTACAATAGTGAGATTGCTGGAAACAACAATTAGATTTATACATTTTATCAAGTTTAGTTTTGAAAACCTGTACTTCTATCATGTGAACTATATAATTATGGATTGTTAAAAACACTATAAATGAAAGTCATGAATTAAAAATTTTTTAACACAGAAAAAAAACAATGCCACATGTTTACTTTCCATTTATATATTCACAGCTCATACACTGGATAGAAATCTGTTTTAGTTCTTCATTAAGAAATGATCAAATTTGATATCTTAAGACAGCAACTGTACAAGTACTATGTTAAAACTCACCCATAAATTTAAAATGAATTCCCATGTATATAAATGGAATATAGATGATCAATCCACTAAGTATGAACAGAACAGCGTACACAAACTGAATGCCAGGGTTCTGAATAATTGGAGCTATGACTAGATAAATTGAAGCGAGGAGAACAATAATTGGAACTGGTAAAGGAACCTGATTGGGAAAAAACAACAACATCTTGTTAATAACCAAACATGCATCATTTATATTACCTGGAACTATATATATATATATTATAGCTTTATTATTTACTTTTTATTGGCCTCCTTCTGATGTAAAATGACTATGGTTCACGTTGAACACTTTTTCATATGGATGTGAAGCCCTATTTTGGAGAGACACTTCAGTTCACATATATTGCAGGTCAAGGTGGCTTTCGCTTTGATGGTAGAGGAACCGGCCATTTTTTGCATGGCATGCTTTTCTTTTAGATCTGAAGCCCATGTTTTCTCGCTGTCCATAGCTTTCTTGGTCACTGTCTCTCTCCAACTAGTGTGGTCTAGGGCTATGTCTTCCCAATGGTCAGTATCAATGTTCACTGATTTTAAATCCTGTTTTATAACGTCCACGTAATGGAGGTGAGGCGACCAGTTTTTCTTGAGCTGCCCATAGAGAGTGATATTCAGGATGCGATTGTCCTCCATCCGGTGAACATGTCTAAGCCAGTTCGGGCAATATTGTGCACGCAATGTTGCCTGAAGACTGTAAAGATGCTGGGAAGGCCCATTCGCGTGAGTATCTCAGTTTGCACACTCTTTCTTTCCATGTGATTTTCAAGATTCTTCGAAGGCAATGCAAATGGAGTGAGTTTAGTTTTCTTTCCTGCTTTGTGTAAGTAGTCCACGACTCACTGCCATACAGCAGCGTGCTAAGAATGAATGCTTTGTAGACCTGCATTGTGGTTGCTGTAGTGAGCTTCTGGTTTTCAAAAACTCTTGGTCGGAGTCTAGCAAAGGTTGATGCAGCCTTCCCTAAGCATTATTTATCTGCATTTTCTTACCAAACTTACTTAAAGCCCTATCAAACAGTTTCAAAAAGAATAATATTTGCATCTTCATAATTTGGATTAATTTTTTGGGGACTTTATTGTAAATTTGAGAAAATAAAAAGCCATAATTCACATTTTTTTATAGTTCATATTACATTGCTTAGTTTTTCCCATGAAAAAATGTATCATGCCTTGAAGAAGTAACTGTCAGTAAAATCAAATGTAAATAAAAATACTTCTGTAAGGAAATGTATGAATATCAGTTTGAAAACAATAAACTGTTTTAAGTTAAGAATGCCAACATTTACAATTTATTTTTTTGTTTGGCTTATACAAGCTCATGTGTTACAATGTGTTACAACACATTGAAGGGAAACAGATCTTACTTTATATGGCCTTGGTGTCTTGGGCTCTATTACTCTTAGTATTAACAAGGAAGCTGTTGTGATGCCATAGAAGAGCCATGAAGCAAAACTGAAGAAGTCTATGAGTGAGCTCAGGTCACCAGGTATTATAAGGCAAAGTGAAATAATCAACTGGTAGAAATAAAGCCAAAAAAAATTACACATTTGGGTAATAAATGTTTATTAAAAAAAATCTTTTAATTTATTTAATAAAATTATTAGTAATAGCTGAGAAGCAATGAAAGATTCAAGGTATATAAAAGTAAAAATGTTTAAAATTGTAGTATTTTATAAAATTTATCTGCATGTAATAAATTAGTAAATTACTGTAAACATGACAGCAGGCATGGGTGTATTTCTATCAAACTGTAAGAATGATAGAATCCTAGGAAAATGGCCATCTCTCCCAGCTGAAAAACACAACCTACAATGAAAATTAAAAATATTGATATGAAATGATTACATTGTAATGCCAGATAAAAATTTTAAAAGTACTGAATCATTAATGTTTATAGCTAGAATTACCTCCCAGATGAAAATAAGCATCCATTGGCTGAACCAAATGTTGAGGCTACAACAAAGCAAGGAATCATCCAGGACATAACACCAAGCATTCGTTCACCCCAAGTCTGGGACAAACAAAAACAAACGAACACAACTTAAATCAGAAGTGAGAATTAATGTAGGCAATATTATTTTTATTTACAATCAATTTTTTTTTAAAATTAATATTTCAATCAAAATCAGTGGCATAGCATTAATGAGGGGGGGGGGGGACATGAATAGAAGTACTGTAACACGAGAGAATGTGGGAGAGTAAGGAAAAAAAAGAGAAAATTAGGGAGAGAAAAGAGAATACGGAAAGTGACAAAAAGAGAGAGAATAGAAAACGGGAAATGACAAAAAGAGAGAGAAGAGAATACGGGAAGTGATACAAAGTGAGAATACAGAAAGTGATACAAAGAGAGAATACAGGAAGTGATACAAAGAGAGAATACAGGAAGTGATACAAAGAGAGAATACAGGAAGTGATACAAAGAGAGAATACAGGAAGTGATACAAAGAGAGAATACAGGAAGTGATACAAAGTGAGAATACAGGAAGTGATACAAAGAGAGAATACAGGAAGTGATACAAAGAGAGAATACAGGAAGTGATACAAAGAGAGAATACAGGAAGTGATACAAAGAGAGAATTCGGAATGTGATACAAAGAGAGAATACAGGAAGTGATACAAAGAGAGAATACAGGAAGTGATACAAAGAGAGAATACAGGAAGTGATACAAAGAGGATACAGGAAGTGATACAAAGAGAGAATATGGGAAGTAAGAAAAAGAGAGAAAGAGGGAAGCATTGTGACCTAAAGAAAAACTAACAAACGTGATGGTTAAACAAAAGAGCAAAGAAGATATTATTGATTTGAAAGCTTTTCTCTTACCACTGCTACGGCATGTGAAATCATGATTTCTTCTTTAGACATGACAGCCAAATAGCCGACATTGGCAAGGACATAGCACAGAGTTGTCAGTGGTATGCCAATCATTATAGCTCTTGGTAGATTTCTACGTACATTAAAAAGAACTCATAAATGTGTAAAACTAAAATCTGAAGATTCAGAACTACTTCCATCAAAATTTGTGTAATATTTAGGCAAAGTCAAATCAATATACATACTTAGTAGGATTTTTTAGCTCTTCTGTGATAAAATTTAAGCTATTCCTGTAGAATGATATAACAATTTTTAACAGCATTTGTATATAGAGAGAATTATAACAAAATAATAGTCCTTTCTAATCTAGAATTCTAAAATTCTATCAGGTAATTTCTGTTTATCATGTAAATTAAACATATCTAAAAGTTACTAACCAACCATCGAATGCCCAGAGCCCATTGTAAAATGCAATAGCCACTTTTTGTGGATCATTTCTGGTGCCTTCAAAGCCTTCGGAAAGATATTCTGTGTTACCTGATGGATATAAATGTAAAAAAAAAAAATTGTGAAGTAAATTTTGTAATTTGTTAATCAGGACAATGTTGAACCTAGAGACTTTTGTTGCTGTGAATTAAAAACTAATTTTATAAAATAGCATAATAATAAGGGGGCTTGGTGCAGTTGGGGGTAGCCCCCGCAGGTAACTCCTACTCATGCATTAAGATAAAAACTAACTAAATCTTACACTCATAAATACTGCCATTAAAATCTGGCTTTGAAACATGTTTTACATTTTTTAAAAGTATGCTTTCAGAAGACCATAAATAGCTGTTTCCTCTTAGAATTCATATTTTTTTTTTTTTTAAATTACAATCACACCTATTTTGAAGATGACATAGCTGATGGTGACATGCCATGGCTAAGTGATAAAGCTATTGGCTTACAAACCAAGGGTCCTGGGTTCAAATCCTGGCAAAGACTAAGATTTTTTATTTTGTGATCTTTAGGGCGCTTTTAAGCCCACTCAGCTCTAATGAGTAGCTGACATTAATTGGGTAAAAGCAAAGTTGGTTGGTCATTGTGCTGGCCACATGACACCATCGTTAACCATGGGCCACAGAAACAGATGACCTTCACATCATCTGCCCTTCTGCCCTATATACCACATGGTTTGAAAATGGAACTTTACTTTTTTACAGGTGATGGTGAAATAATATTTTCAGTAATACTTGTAGTTTTTGATATCTAAACTGACAGACAGACATCACAAAACCAATAGTAGCTTTGTCCTGAAGGACTGAAAAAAAAATTAATTTCACTTGGTAAAAACAATGTTCTGTTAATTAGTTGCCTACCTTTGAAAATCATGATGATACCACCAACAGAGATGATGGCTAGTGCAATAAGTTTTGTGAAAGTTGTTATGTTTTGAACCATTGTGGCTGCTTTCACAGATACACTGTTTATAAATGCAATTGTACCTTTAAAAAAAATCAAGAAAACTGTGTTACAAGCAATGGATATGTGCATTAATTAAATCCATTTAGCAATGACTATTTACAAAAAGTGTTAAGAATAAATAAAAAGGGGGGGGGGGGGGGAATCTATGACAATAAGAAGCAATACAATTAAAAAATAGTTCTTAAAACCAAATT